TATCTACACTACCCCAGGATGCTTCCACAAAAGTTTTAGCTTTCCTGGCCCAGTAGTTCTTGAGAAGAAGATTTTTAAAGATTTGTTCTATATATTTCTATGTAAAACTTGGATTTCCTATTGTGGCCCCGCCCTGCCCCCGAGGGTCATGATTTTAACAATTTAATATCTACACTACCCAAGGATGCTTCCATATAAGTTTCAGCTTTCCTGGCCCAGTGGTTCTTGAGAAGAAGATTTTTAAAGATTTGTTCTATATATTTCTATGTAAAACTTGGATTTCCTATTGTGGCCACGCCCTACCCCAGAGGGTCATGATTTCAACAATTTAATTTATACACTACCCAAAGATGCTTCCATATAAGTTTCAGGTATCCTGGCCCAGTAGTTCTTGAGAAGAAGATTTTTAAAGATTTGTTCTATATATTTCTATGTAAAACTTGGATTTCCTATTGTGGCCCCGCCCTGCCCCCGAGGGTCATGATTTTAACAATTTAATATCTACACTACCCAAGGATGCTTCCATATAAGTTTCAGCTTTCCTGGCCCAGTAGTTCTTGAGAAGAAGATTTTTAAAGATTTGTTCTATATATTTCTATGTAAAACTTGGATTTCCTATTGTGGCCCCGCCCTGCCCCCGGGGTCATGATTTTAACAATTTAATATCTACACTACCCAAGGATGCTTCCATATGAGTTTCAGTTTTCCTGGCCCAGTAGTTCTTGAGAAGAAGATTTTTAAAGATTTGTTCTATATATTTCGATGTAAAACTTGGATTCCCTATTGTAGCCATGCCCTACCCCCGGGGTTCATGATATTAACAATTTAATATGTACACTACCCAAGGATGCTTCCATAAAAGTTTCAGCTTTCCTGGCCCAGTAGTTCTTGAGAAGAAGATTTTTAAAGATTTGTTCTATATATTTCTATGTAAAACTTGGATTTCCTATTGTGCTGCCCTATTGTGGCCCTGCCCCCCCGGGGGTCATGATTTTAACAATTTAATATCTACACTACCCAAGGATGCTTCCATATAAGTTTCAGCTTTCCTGGCCCAGTAGTTCTTGAGAAGAAGATTTTTAAAGATTTGTTCTATATATTTCTATGTAAAACTTGGATTTCCTATTGTGGCCCCGCCCTGCCCCCGAGGGTCATGATTTTAACAATATAATATCTACACTACCCAAGGATGCTTCCATATAAGTTTCAGCTTTCCTGGCCCAGTGGTTCTTGAGAAGAAGATTTTTAAGTATTTGTTCTATATATTTCTATGTAAAACTTGGATTCCCTATTGTGGCCATGCCCTACCCCCGGGGGTCATGATTTTAACAATTTAATATCTACACTACCCAAGGATGCTTCCATATAAGTTTCAGTTTTCCTGGCCCAGTAGTTCTTGAGAAGAAGATTTTTAAAGATTTGTTCTATATATTTCTATGTAAAACTTGGATTTCCTATTGTGGCCCCGCCATACCCCCGGGGGTCATGATTTTAACAATTTAATATCTACACTACCCAAGGATGCTTCCATATAAGTTTCAGCTTTCCTGGCCCAGTAGTTCTTGAGAAGAAGATTTTTAAAGATTTGTTCTATATATTTCTATGTAAAACTTGGATTTCCTATTGTGGCCCCGCCCTGCCCCCGAGGGTCATGATTTTAACAATTTAATATCTACACTACCCAAGGATGCTTCCATATAAGTTTCAGCTTTCCTGGCCCAGTAGTTCTTGAGAAGAAGATTTTTAAAGATTTGTTCTATATATTTCTATGTAAAACTTGGATTTCCTATTGTGGCCCCGCCCTGCCCCCGGGGGTCATGATTTTAACAATTTAATATCTACACTACCCAAGGATGCTTCCATATAAGTTTCAGCTTTCCTGGCCCAGTAGTTCTTGAGAAGAAGATTTTTAAAGATTTGTTCTATATATTTCTATGTAAAACTTGGATTTCCTATTGTGGCCCCGCCCTGCCCCCGAGGGTCATGATTTTAACAATATAATATCTACACTACCCAAGGATGCTTCCATATAAGTTTCAGCTTTCCTGGCCCAGTAGTTCTTGAGAAGAAGATTTTTAAAGATTTGTTCTATATATTTCTATGTAAAACTTGGATTTCCTATTGTGGCCCCGCCCTGCCCCCGGGGGTCATGATTTTAACAATTTAATATCTACACTACCCAAGGATGCTTCCATATAAGTTTCAGCTTTCCTGGCCCAGTAGTTCTTGAGAAGAAGATTTTTAAAGATTTGTTCTATATATTTCTATGTAAAATTTGGATTTCCTATCGTATCCTACCCCCGGGGGTCATGATTTTAACAATTTAATATCTACACTACCCAAGGATGCTTCCATATAAGTTTAAGCTTTCCTGGCCCAGTAGTTCTTGAGAAGAAGATTTTTAAAGATTTGTTCTATATATTTCTATGTAAAACTTGGATTTCCTATTGTGGCCCCGCCCTACCCCAGGGGGTCATGATTTCAACAATTTAATATATACACTACCCAAGGATGCTTCCATATAAGTTTCAGTTTTCCTGGCCCAGTAGTTCTTGAGAAGAAGATTTTTAAAGATTTGTTCTATATATTTCTATGTAAAACTTGGATTCCTATTGTGGCCCCGCCCTACCCCAGGGGGTCATGATTTTAACAATTTAATATCTACACTACCCAAGGATGCTTCCATATAAGTTTCAGTTTTCCTGGCCCAGTAGTTCTTGAGAAGAAGATTTTTAAAGATTTGTTCTATATATTTCTATGTAAAACTTGGATTCCCTATTGCAGCCATGCCCTACCCCCGGGGGTCATGATATTAACAATTTAATATCTACACTACCCAAGGATGCTTCCATAAAAGTTTCAGCTTTCCTGGCCCAGTAGTTCTTGAGAAGAAGATTTTTAAAGATTTGTTCTATATATTTCTATGTAAAACTTGGATTTCCTATTGTGGCCCCGCCCTGCCCCCGGGGGTCATGATTTTAACAATATAATATCTACACTACCCAAGGATGCTTCCATATAAGTTTCAGCTTTCCTGGCCCAGTAGTTCTTGAGAAGAAGATTTTTAAAGATTTGTTCTATATATTTCTATGTAAAACTTGGATTTCCTATTGTGGCCCCGCCCTACCCTAGGGGGTCATGATTTTAACAATTTAATATCTACACTACCCAAGGATGCTTCCATATAAGTTTCAGCTTTCCTGGCCCAGTGGTTCTTGAGAAGAAGATTTTTAAGTATTTGTTCTATATATTTCTATGTAAAACTTGGATTCCCTATTGTGGCCCTGTCCAAACCCTGTATCTCTCTCTCTCTCTCTCTCATGTTTTCTTTCTGTAAAAAAAAAGATATTTTATCCTTGACCTTTCTTTTGCTTCATGTATTTTATGCCAATTAAAATTAGCTGAAAGTTCAGCAGGTCAAAGAAGCTAGATGCTCAAAATGTTTCAAAGATTTTGACCAAAAATGAATGCATGCATGATGATAAATGGAAAGCAATGCAATATTGAGAGTTTATACCGTTTTAATTAATACCATACTCAAATTAATTGTAATTTGAAAAAATATGAAACAAATTTAAAAACGTTTAAAAGAATGTGGTTTAATCAACATTGAATAAACCTGCTATGTAAATCAATTAATAAATTAATTTATCAAATAAAATTGACTAGTCTAAGATCTTTAAAAAGCTAACTGAAATAAAATAAATACTAGTAGTCAAATAAAACATTGGATCCACCCCTGTTCCTACTTGTACACCTGTAATACCTGGGTACCTGAGTAGAATTCATCTCCCTTTTGTTCCATTGATCTCCTGACCTGAGACAAAGACACGTTCAGCTGGACTGATCATAGAATGCATGGCCTGATCTTATAATATTACAAAGAAAATTGACTCACAGTTTTCAAGAAATGTAAGTGCTATCTAGTATCATCATTTAATTTGCTTTACTTTTAATAATACATTAATTAATTTTCATATTGTCTAACTTCTTGAGAAAAGATTTCTGGAGTGAAGGGTAAATTTTATACATGCATGTATTACAGTCAACATTTATCATGTTTATTCAGACTCTCACAGTCTGACATCTAAAGATTCTGAAGTACATTCCTGTAGCTGTGTTCCACAAATTTAATAAACATGTTCTGATTTAGGTTTAATTTCAAAAACTGTAATTATAAAATTTAGAAATGATTTTGTTCATTTTGATGTCAACATACATGCAGGCATATGCATGCTTCATTAAGGAATCACTGTGTAGTTAGTAGAGTATGCCAGGGCATAAACGATAGTTGAATAATTTGCATAATGGGCAGTGCATGGTTCCTTATATGCCTAGACATTGTCATTATGACATAACATGTAAGATGCATTACCATGCAAGCTGAAACTCAACAGCAGTAATTTTAGCAAAGAATTAACATTTAGTCTTCTGTTTTCCTGCAATATCCATTAAATCAAGATGAATTTATTTTTTGTTGAACTTTTGTTGTTACCATGAGAATGTAGTTTGTGGGGAGACTGCCATTTGAAAGGATTATGGGACCTCATACTACTGAAAAAAAATATTGTTAAATTTGAATCAATGTCAAAAGTTCCAAAAATTTTCTTCACCTAGGCTTTGCTTTAAGATCCCAGTGCTGAGTGGCACTCAAAGGCTCTGAATCAAGGGAAATAACTCATGACTTTCCCAAATGCAATGTTAAGAATATTTAAATTCACAAAATGTAATAAATAAATGTAGAATTTACTTTTGTTGTACTTTGAAATATGGCCATGGGCCACTTAATGTTTTAATCGATCTTGTGTTTTGTTCTTGATAATACTTTTAAGATTATGCAATATTCTGATTTCTTTCACTAGGAAATTCAAAATTAATAATTTTCTATGATTACAATTTCCGTACAGAATATTTGTTATAAAAATTAGACCATCTATTTTATATCAATATATATTACATAAATATTTGGTCAATAATATAAACATCAATATATTACATCTGGGGAATTCATGAATTATTCCCCTTGATTCAGAGCTTTGTAAAATATGTGCACACAAATTACTGTACAGGTCAATTATATTTATTGTACAAAATGGAAGAATATTAATTCATTTTGAGACACATAAAATATACTTAAAGATATCACAATTTTTGCAAATTTATTTTCTCATAATTATGAAAGTCATAATTATGTACATTTTTGATTGCAATATATCATAAAGGATTATTCATTGATTATTTCAATAATTTCCACAGCAATGTCAATTTCTTTCTGTGTGGCCTCGTAAGCCTCTATGGTTCCATCATCATGGATAATACACCCAGGAAGGTAGCGATTCACGTTCTCTGTCATCATTGCCTTTACATCTATTTTTGCCCGAATCCTCTTTTCATACCTTAAAATAATTATTATTTCCCTCTGATCAGTATTTCTTTTGGAAGTTTAAATTTTCTTTACAGGACACAAATAGATCAACTCACTTACCATTTAATACAAGGCAAACAGACAATACAGCAGGGGCATCCTGTACCAAATAATGCGATACAGCGTTTAGGGTCCTTCATAAAGCAGTAACATGAGAAGGAGAATCCGGCCACAGATAGGAGGGTCATTCCCAGGTACTTAAGTAGGTCAAACCTACTCTCTCTGGCTTTCTTATTCAGCTCCTCCATGTCCTCATCTGTTATCACCTGTAACAATACAGATCCTGATCAAGGTAAGGTTCAGTGACAAATCTGAGTTAATCTTCATTCAAATTAATTCAAAGGGCGACAACATAGTTGTTACCCTGTATGCTCTATTATGCTATTTCATTGTCATCTGAAGGGTGACAACAGTTGTCACCCTGCACATGAGGGAGACATCACGAATTGTCTCATCTCACGTGACATGCTCTAAACCAATCAGATTGACTGTATAATTCTGAAGATATGATATATAGGATATGATACTGTTTAGTGACTCTGAGTGAATCATTAACAATATGATAGAGATTATGAGACTATACCTGAATGCTGTCTGAGTGATTCTTAGATTCTCCTGAGGAAGAGAGATTTTTGCTTTCCAAGTGAGCGTCTGCGAGGGCATTGATGTCGATCTGTCGTCGGACTCTTGATGGCCTACTTATATCTGGTCCCTCTGATGATGGTGGCCTACTTATTTGTGGTCCTTCCCTTTGATCTTCATCAGAAATATCCACTGAGGGCAAAATTTGGTCCTCTATTATTTTGTCATTCCTATCTATTTCTTGCATCTTTTGTAGTAAGTCAGAATCATTTGTTTTCATTTGATTTGAATTTGAACTGTAGAATGGTGTCTGATTTTGTAACATGTCCTCTTTGTTTTTATTTATGATGTGAGAGTTAGACCTACTATCATCATTCTTTATTATGTTTGATTTTAAACTAAACCTCTGCATTCTGTTTTCCTTTAACACAGATTTTATTTCTTCCATTAAATTTTTGTCCCTGTAATCCTCTGGTATTTCAGTTTTTCTCTTTTGATCAGTTCTCCCTCTTCGTCTGTGAATGTCTGTTAAAGTTTTATATTCAGGATATCCATCACTAGTTTTTGGTACCTTATGCATTGTATCATGCATATTTTGTCTGTTCTGTAGTTTAGAATCCATTATTTTTAACAGTTCCTCTCTTTCTTTCTTTCTTGTTGGAGTACCTTCAGTTTGATGTTGTGACACACCTTTCTCTGTGTCTGAGTTGCTGTTTTCATCATGACTGGCTCTGTAGTGCAATTCCTCGTACATTAAATCCTTTTCCATGGCTCTTTTTAGTTCTGGGTCCACCATCTCAACAACATCCTGATCCCCACCCCCTAAAATAATACACACAAGCAGATATAACTTAATACAAGGGTCTATGAGCCTTAATAGTCACCAGAATATAAAAAGAGCTAAAATTTTACAGAAAACCAGGCCTGACAAGACTGTAGCTTTACTGGTTTATACTTACAACAAAAGAAAAGTACATTTGAATTGAAACTTTGCAACAGCAAAATATTAAAAATAAATCTTTGGTTTAGTCATTTTCTTAGCATGATTTATTGAAATCAGACCAAAACTGTAGGAGAAGAAGAATTTTGAAAGTATTTCAACGAAATTTCTATTCTTAGTAACCATGGCAACTCCGTTCATCGAAATAAAAAACTGATAAAGAGCAATATTATATAAGAAGATAATTTTCGTAATTTTTATTGGCTGAAAGAACGTCAAGTGATATTCCTCCTTTTGTGATGTTGACGCGAAAGCGCATCCGCGGAAAATGATATCGCAAGACACACCGTTCGGTTGCACTAAAGTTACGTAGAACTGTACATGACGTCTTAATATAAAGAAGCGTGTTTTAACCATTGTGACGTAATGACAGCAGAGTCTGCTCAGTTAGGACTGTGTCAGTGCATTCACTTTGAGTGATTATATGATATAACTATTATGGACTTCAGTGGACGGTCAATATGTGGTTATAAGGACTCATGGCAATATTGATATTGACCTCAGACACAGAAAATGATAGCGACCTCGCAGGCTCGGTCGCTATCACTTTCTGTGTCTGAGGTCAATATCAATTGCCATATGAGTCCCTATAACCACATATCGACCTACACTGAAGTCCATAATTGTATAGGTAATATGTATCTTAGTGTACCGATCGATATATTGAAATCAGACCAAAACCGTAGAAATAGTAGCGTTTTAAAAATATTTCACAGAAATTTTATTTTTAGAAACCATGGAACCGCCGTTCATCAAAATTAATAACTGATATAGAAATATGTATCTAAGTGTAGTACTCTCTTTCTGTGTTAAGTTATATTGAAATCAGACCAAACTGATGGAGGAGTAGCATTTTGAAAAATTGTTTATAATGTGACAGATGGACAGACGATGGACACCTTACTATCGCATACCAGCTCTTCTGGTTTTGACCAATAAATAAAAAATATATACGAGCTTGGAAATACATTATATTTCAAAAAAAAAGAGGTCACTGTAATAGGTTTTTTTAATGTTAATTTATGGCTACAAAATGTTGATTTTATCTGTTTTTGAAGAATTATAACTCAAATAAAAATCAAAATGTCTATGCAGATATTTTTAGTATAAGAAAGTGTGTTACAAATTTTGTTGTATTTTTTATTGCATTCACAAGGTGTAGAGAGATTGTGTTAAATGAACATAAGAGTTATCTCCCTTTATGCAGTATTGCATACATAAATGATTTTGTATTGGGAATTGCATGGGTACATTTGTCTGGTACAGGGTTTGACACTATATGGCATGTCCAACTGACCCATAAAAGTAAATGAGTTGTCTGGTCCTGTAAAAATGTATATGAACTAGACCAATTGGTCAGTAATATGTTGATGAAATAACTGTTAAACCAACACTACAATGTAATCTAATTAATCTGACAAGAGGCCCATGGGCCACATCGCTCACCTGAGCACTAAGGGTAAAAGTAGAAAATGGCTTTTTGTTGTAAAATTTAAGTCCAAAAGTAGTCCCATGACCAATCATGGATTTGCTGTTTCTTAGAAAATGATTTTTAAAGAATTTTCCTATATATATCTTTAAAAACTTTGGTCGGCCATTTTGGCCCCGCCCTATATCTGGGGGTCATGATTCGAACAAATTTGAATCTACACTACCTGAGCATGCTTCCATATATATATGATGAATTATGGCTTTGTCATTCTTGAGAAGATGTTTAAAGAATTTTCCTATATATTTCTATGTAAAACTTTGGTCAGCCATTTTGGCCCTGCCCTACCCCCTGGGGGCATGATTTGAACAAACTTGAATCTACACTACCTGAGCATGCTTCCATATAAATATGATGAATTACGGCTTTGTTATTCTTGAGAAGAAGATTTTTAAAGAATTTTCCTATATATTTCTATGTAAAACTTTGGTCGGCCATTTTGGCCCTGCCCTACCCCGAGGGGTCATGATTTGAACAAACTTGAATCTACACTACCTGAGCATGCTTCCATATATATATGATGAATTATGGCTTTGTCATTCTTGAGAAGATGTTTAAAGAATTTTCCTATATATTTCTATGTAAAACTTTGGTCGGCCATTTTGGCCCTGTCCTACCCCGAGGGGTCATGATTTGAACAAACTTGAATCTACATTACCTGAGCATGCTTCAATATATATATGATGAATTATGGCTATGTCATTCTTGAGAAGAAGATTTTTAAAGAATTTTCCTATATATTTCTATGTAAAACTTTGGTCGGCCATTTTGGCCCTGCCCTATCCCCAGGGGTCATGATTTAAAAAAAACTTGAATCTACACTACCTGAGCATGCTTCCATATAAATATGATGAATTATGGCTTTGTTATTCTTGAGAAGAAGATTTTTAAAGAATTTTCCTATATATTTCTATGTAAAACTTTGGTCGGCCATTTTGGCCCCGCCCTATCCCCGGGGGGTCATGATTTGAACAAACTTGAATCTACACTACCTGAACATGCTACCATATAAATATGATGAAATATGGCCTTGTCATTCTTGAGAAGAAGATTTTTAAAGAATTTTCCTATATATTTCTATGTAAAACTTTGGTCGGCCATTTTGGCCCTGCCCTACCCCGAGGGGTCATGATTTGAACAAATTTGAATCTACACTACCTGAGCATGCTTCCATATATATATGATGAATTATGGCTATGTCATTCTTGAGAAGAAGATTTTTAAAGAATTTTCCTATATATTTCTATGTAAAAATTAGGTCGGCCATTTTGGCCCCACCCTACCCCCGGGGGTCATGATTTGAACAAACTTGAATCTACACTACCTGAGGATGTTTCCCCATAAGTTTCATCTTTCCTGGCACAGTGGTTCTTGAGAAGAAGATTTTTAAAATCTGCCACCAAATTTTCATTAATTCCCAATTATCTCCCCCTGAGTAAGGGCGTGGCCCTTCATTTGAACAAACTTGAATCCCCTTCACCCAAGGATACTTTGTGGCAAGTTTGGTTGAAATTGGCCCAGCGGTTCTTGAGAAGAAGTCGAAAATGTGAAAAGTTTACAGACAGACAGACAGACAGACGGACGCCGGACAAAATGTGATCAGAAAAGCTCACTTGAGCTTTCAGCTCAGGTGAGCTAATAAAAAAAGAACTCTGTCAAACCCTGCGGTAGCTCAGTAGCTAAGCATCTGCATGTTTAGAAGGTCCTGGGTTCGAGTCCCAGTCGCGCCGACATTTTTCCTTGCCTAGCACCCAACAACAAAAATCACAGGTGCATGGTTTAGAAGAGTGGCTGTGAAATTTTCAGGATAGAAAACCGCAAGAAAAAGGAAGGCAGAATGTGACAGAAATTTAAGGTATGTCAGCCTGGAAGCTCAGTGGTAGTGGACATGCAGTTAGCAGGTGGTCCCAGGTTCTAGTTTGTTTGAAAATTTTCCCCACCTGTTATAATTTTATGATATATTCTAAGTGTTCTTAAACATATATATTAACATTTGAAAATGTTTTCCTTTATATAATACTATTGAAAGCAATGCTTATCTAAAACCATTTAAATTATACAGATTTCTTTTTTTTTAAATTTATTTATTGTTTTTCCATGATTTTACAAAAAAAAAAAACATGAGAGAGAGAGATCATGCAATTAAATAAATTCTTCCATAACTTCCAGGCCTCATCAAATTTTTCTTGTTCTCATTGTTTTTCTTCTACAGATTTCTTAATACGTCATAAACGTTCGATGTAATTTCTCGGTGACATGTACATCATTAAGGGTTGATGCACAATTAATGGATGTGCTGTTGAGTTTGAAAAATAAAAAATTTCAGGTGTTATAAATCATACTCAGGCAAATATAAAGTTACTCCTGAACAAGTAAGAGCCTCAGTTAATGCCCCTATACAGCTCCTATTATTATACTTCTGTTAAAATGTTTCCTATATAAAGTTCAGAAGGTAAAATAACTATATTTTATAGTTCACGCATAGCAAAGCTATACCCCGGGGTATAGTTTTTGCTATCCACTGGCCCTCGGAAAATTTTCATGCAATTTTTGCCGCCAATTTTGATTTCCAGCGATTATTTCTATTGACTAATGATGTCATAATGACTTCAGTAGCATTGTGACGTCATAAGGATTTCAGATTATTCTTGCAGTATTATCTTACTCCAAAAAATTCAAACCTCAGAAATTATATTATACATCAGTATAATAAAATGCTTATCCACTGGTTGTGAGTGGGATAGCTCTTTTATCAAACCCTTGACTGGGACTATTCCCCTTGGACAAGCCCTCAGGGAATAATTCCCTGTCGCGGGTTTGATAAAAGAGCTATCCCACTCACACCCAGTGGATAAGTGTATAATTCACCTCGGCCCCGAGTCAAAAGTATCTCACTGTAAACGACTCTAGCATGCTGGAGTAATATAAAATAATATGTCAAATAAGTCACAAAATAATGTAAATATAACTAATAAGGTATTATTTTAAAAAATCTATCAAGCTTTAAATATGGGTTGGTAGGAGATAAAATTTACCATAGCCCTTCAATATACATGTTGAAAAATTATTTGCAATCATTTGCAGCATTATGATTTTAATCTTACAAACTATTTATTCACAAAAAAAAAACCTACAGATTCAATAGTGCAAATAATTTTCCAGCATTGGTCAATCAACTACTTCAATATTTACTTCTTAATTCTTTAACCAATCTGCATCAGCTTCCCAAGTCCTACCTTGTAAGTTCTCTCTATATAGACCCAGAAACATACTTTCTCTTTTTGAATTTCATACTACCAACACAAAATTCAAAACAAGCCAATGGCAGATTTAGAGGGGGCATGGGGGGGGGGGGGGGGGGTGCACCCTCGTCTAAAATTTTCAAAGTATGATATGATTAATTTTGATAATTAACTTTGGCTTTGTAATTAATGGTCATTTAATACATGTAAATGATAATTATATCTATTAAATGAGGAAGTATTATGGAATTCCAGAATTCATAGCCTAGGGAATGAAAGGTATGTTCATTTTTATTTTTCTTTCAAAAGCTGAAATATCACACTGTACATAACTAACCAAAACTATAATTTTTTTTACTCTTAAAATACACCAAAACCTAGATTGAAATTCCAAGGGCTAGCTTATTCCCTCTTATTAAGGTGACCCCAGACCTCCTGCCTGAACAAAGTTATCCATGCCCCCCTCCCCCCCCCCCCCCCCCCCCAAATTACAAATCCTGTATCCACCCATGCAACTGTAAAGGGATATGGAGGTGGATAAAATATACAGAATATGATTAAAATTAGGGAGTGAATGAAATGCTGTTGATTGTGCATTTCTGATAATGGCCCAACCATCTGCAGAAAATCTGTATCTTGCATAATAAACGGTAATACATGTACCACACCCTATTTGCAGTATATGGGATCAGTGTACGTAGCATTGTGGTCAATGATTAATATATAAACCACAATGCTACAGTTTTGCAACTATTCTTTAACTGTATAATAAACCGCAGAAACAAACACAAACTGGTAATCGCTAGCATTCACAAATCTTGTTACACATGCGTTTCTGGTAAAAAGAATTACCTTGAACAACAAAATTTTCTTCGTGTGTTACTCGAACTGAAATCTTTTTGGACTCAGACTCTACAATCAAAATATAGTCATATAAATTAAAACAGGATAAATAGCTATCCAAAATAGAATCTTGTAGCCTGTTCAGCAGACGAAATTCCTTTAAAATAAAATTTAAATTGAGTTAGGCTAAATTTGCAGCAACGTTTTTCTAAAATGCCTAAGTGATCATGACTGATTTCAAAAACTATTTTTTTTTCTTTTTAACTATATACATTACCTGTATTACCAAGAATCAACAGGGTATTGAAAGCAATGAGTAATTTTTTGATGCATATGCCTATTTTCATTTCATCGTACTCATAGGAAATGACGTCACGAGGTGAAGAGGGCGCTTCCTCGTATTTGTAAACTTGTAATCTGAAAGTAGAACGAAAACATGGCCTTGTCGGTGTCAAACAGCTTTGCACGAAGTAAGTAGCATTTTGAAAGTTTGTTTTGCTTTCCAATAATCTCAATTAAAATATCAATATGTACGATGTATGCCTTTATGAGGTAAATGCAGAAATTCGCCGCGCTGTTGTGAGGAAGAAATTGTTCTATTTAATGGTGATTTGCATTTCGTAACATAACATTATGAAACAGAACAGACGTCTTGTTCGTGGCAGCTGTTCTGTCAGGGTTTAATTTTTTTTTTATTAAAACAAAATTGGCAATCCAAGACAAAAACGAAGGTAAAACATATATCCTTGAGGTTTAAAAACTTGAATTTTTTGTGGTTTTGGTTGAATTTTTAATCTTTAGGCCATCATATCATTAAAAAAAAAATCGTTGTATCCCTTAACCCGACCCTAAAATCTAATTTAAAAGCTAGGTAGTGAAATTATTTTGTGACAGCAACTTTTAAAATACATTCTGAAATTCAATGGAATTATATATTTATAAATAAGATAGTAAAATTAATTCTTAAACAGAATAAGCATTAACCAGTGATTTCAGTTAAATTAATTTGTATGTATTATTTAATCAACTGATTTTGTCAGTGCATGTAAATTCATTGAAATAAAAATTTTAAAAAGAAAAGATTCTTGGATACAGAAAACCACTTGAAGTATACTTTTCCAAACCCACTGTCATCTGCAGTGCTGACATAAATTTTTTCAAGGGCCTTGAATTGAACAGAGCTTTTGGAGCATTTTTTTTTTCTGAAGTAATTCAGATTAATTTAATTTTAGTTGTAATGTACGTGTCATTTGATTGAATAAAACATTTATTTCATATTGTATAACATAAGTTACCTCTGAATAATTATAGCTCTTTCAGGATAGCTTTTGCAGTGTCGGTGACATTGAACTTGTCTTGCGTGTGGCAATTATAGACAAAACCTAAGTTTTTGTTTCTATCTTATTAATAATATTTTAAAATGATTTTATATAAATGAATGAAATTTCAAAGCAAAATTAAAAAAAGATATGGAAATAAGTAAAGTGCATATAAAATTTTGTTGATAAAGATTATTAAACCCAGTTATTAACATGATTAAGTTAACTTAGGTGGAATATCCCTCCAATAAAAGAGATACATGTAACTTTCTGAAGACATTTTTCCATGAAATTCAATGAATTGTCATATGTCAGGTTTTACAAATTTCATTTAGAAGGACAATTTTAGTCAATTCAGTTGAATCTTTTCTATCGTATAGATTGTAGTTTCTATTGCCAATATTTTCATTTATTATTTTTAAATAGTTTACCTAAAACATTACTCAATTCCTTTAAACGGTGTAAATTGAAATATTTCTATCTCATAACATACAAGTCATTTATATTAATTGTTACAGGAATTGCAGATGCAGAATTGTATATGAACATTTAATTAATATTTTGTTTTACTAAAAAATATTCTCAAGGGCGATAATGGAAAGATAACTCTTATTGATGGATGCATATTATTTTACAAGCACAGAAAACAATTTGATATTCTGATTTAAAAAGCAACGCTAAAATATGTTTTCTAATGAGAATTAGATAGGGTGTGAGAGTAAATATTAATATTTTCATATATACCTCATAATTCTAATTTTATTGTGAGATAAAAATAATTGATCTTTCTATTTACCATATCAAATTTTCTTCACATCATGATTTGACATATTATTCATTTTCTGAAAAAGTAAGCAACGCTTCATGCTTCAAACTATTTTCCATTTGAATCTAATGCTATTGTTGTTGATGAAAATCAATGTTTGGAATAAAAAAAAAATGGCGAAATTTGGAGCAGAGGGATATTTCACCTTTAATATTTTAGAGCAGTTAATTGTGACATTACTTATTGATCAGTTCTATTTGTTGTCATTTCTTTTTAAATGATCACTATATATGTTTTATATCTGATATTAATGTACATTAATATATGCCCATCACAACAGATATACATGTATATGATCAAAATGGAAAATCAATTTTTCTTGCTTAAACATACGTGGATAACTTTGTATTTGCAGCTGTAAAACCTGATATTCAAAAAGATTATATTTGAAGATTATATTTGAAAAGTGTTTTAGTTGCTATGACTATTGAAATATCAATTTTGATCAACTTAATGTTTTCTTAAAAGAATTTTGATCTAAAGCCATATGAGTATTTTAGAGGTGACTTTATATTTGTCCACCTGTCAATCTGTCTGTCTGTTAGTGTGTTAACTTAGTTTTTCTCTCTCTTTTAATTTAACTTGAGTCACCCAGTACCTGAAAAGTCAGTTAGACATGGAGAGACCTCACCAAAGTCAGTAACTGTCTAGAGTGCATGGGCTTATGTACTGATTTTGTATTTGGTCAATTTACAGATGCTTGCCAGTATTTGAAAACATGGAGTGTATACAACTCCCCAGGTGTCCTTGTGAATGCGTGTCAACACTACAGCACAAACAGGTACTTTATATACTGTCAAGTATTGAATATCAACACTACAGCACAAATAGGTACTTTATATACTGAGGATTAAATATTAACAATACAGCACAAACAGGTACTTTATATACTGAGGATTAAATATTAACAATACAGCACAAACAGGTACTTTATATACTGAGTATTAAATATCAACAATACAGCACAAACAGGTACTTTATATACTGAGTATTGAATATCAACACTACAGCACAAATAGGTACAATTCAGCACAAACAGGTACTTTATATACTAGAATACTCAACAATACAGTTTATATTATTAAATATCAACAATACAGCACAAACAGGTACTTTCTATATTATATATCAACAATACAACACAAACAGGTACATTATATATTGAGTATTGAATATCAACAATACAGCACAAACAGGTACTCTATATACTGAGTATTAAATATCAACAATACAGCACAAAAAGGTACTTTATATACTGAATATTAGATATCAACAATACAGCACAAACAGGTACTTTTATTGTACATGTACGTCTATCATGCAGCATCATTGTTGAGTACTTATGTTATGACAATTATCAAACATTTCATCCAGAGCAAGCCTAGCTCTACTTAGGTAGGATTACTCTGTTCTTTACACAGGTGCTAGCGAACATAGCTCATATAGGCAAACCTACGTTGCCCTCAACCTTCATGAATCAGGTGCTAGTGAGCATGTCTCACAGTGGACATAGCTCATATAGGCAAGATTGCCTTGCCCTCAGCCTTCATGTATCAGGTGCTAGTGAGCATGTTTCATATAAGCAAGTTTTACTTGATCTCAGCCTGTTGCTCATCCAATTCCACAGAGTTAAATTCTATCCTATTGAGTCATAATTTGAGTCTTCTTTTTTGATGCTGCTGATAAATACTTAGATCACTTTGTGTAAAAAATTACATAGCTGCATGAGCCCTATAGGCAAGATTTAAAGTTAGATTAATAAAGATGAAACTTGATAACTTTGTTGTTTTTTTGGGTAATAAACAGGTACTTTATATACTGAGTATTAAATATCAACAATACAGCACAAACAGGTACTTTATATACTGAGTATTAAATATCAACAATACAGCACAAACAGGTACTTTATATACTGAGTATTAAATATCAACAATACAGCACAAACAGGTACTTTATATACTGAGTATTAAATATCAACAATACAGCACAAACAGGTACTTTATATACTGAGTATTAAATATCAACAATACAGCACAAACAGGTACTTTAATATATTATATATATCAACAGTATAGCACAAACAGGTACTTTATATATCATATATCAACAATACAGCACAAACAGGTACTTGTATTATATATTAAATATCAATAATACATCACAAACAGGTAATTGTATGTACATGTATTAAATAGTGAATGTTTAGCATTGGCATTAAGGTAGTCCGATCCTCAGGTTTATAAAATAAGCAGTTAAGTAATCAAAAATACTCATAAAAGTATCTCTGAATCCACAGAGTTTAATATGTAAATTTATCCACAGTATTTCTTTTAAGTTAAAGATTAAAGTTAATCATATTTTATAGGGAAAATCGTCAAATCTCCAATATTTTTGCAGAATAAGCGAATAGGAATATCAGCTATGCATTTTCTAATTGCAAATTGATCAACAAATATATTTTAGGTTAAAAAACGATAGGTATCCAGGCATTCAGAGAAATTGTCATGATTTTTATACTTATTTGGTATTTTTTGTCTTCTATTTCTGTCATGTATTGTATAATACATAGTGTAAAAGGCTTTTGCTATCATTGCAAGACACCACAAATCACTTCTCATTTCATATCATGCTAATAATCATTGGTATCTAAGGCTGGATTCAAGAAAATCTTATGTCTCTAAAACTATATTAATTTTTTTTCCTTTTATAGGGTACAAATGTCAACTTTTATAAGACCTTTTCTAAGACTTCCAAAAACCTTGAATCTTATAAAGATGAATATAATGAAAATTGTTGCATGAAAAAATTTCTTTTCCATTCTTCATTTTGATACATTTCAATTAAAATATTAATTTTTGGAGTTATCCTTCCTGGCTGAGGATCGGATATCCTTAACTACTTCAGGTATATCAAAAATGAAATATTTAGTCTATGAAACACTTATAATAATAATCATTATGATACTTTAAGAACATAATTAAGTCCCCTTTTTAGCTCACCTTAGTCGAAGTTCAAGGTTTTCTTATAGCCTGTTTGTCTTCTGTCTGTCTTTTACCTTTTCACAATTGATATTTACTATCATCACTCCAATAACAGTGTGTCACTTTGTTAGATCAAGTGTGCAAAAATTTCACATGTTGACCACCACATTTTGCATTGATTGGATGTTTGATTTCAATGAAATGAATATTACTTTGGATATGAAATAGAGAATCCAGCAATACACTAATGCTACTGACCAATTGCATTGAAAGATTGTTTAAGAGGACAGCAGTTGAAATAGGAAACATTACAAGTGGTCATAAATGCAGTCAATTTAGTTCTCTGTTCATAAGCAAAGTAGTATTCTTTTCATTGAATCAAACATTCAATCGATAAGAAATGTTGTGATCAACATGTAAAACTTTAACATGCTCCAACAAAGTGACATGCTGTTATTGGAATGATATTACATCTCCAGATCTACATGATCATTTTCACCCAAACTTTCCACAAAGAATCCATAAGTTCACAGGAGTCAAGTTTGTCCTCAGAAAGATTTTTAGAACCTTGCTATTGTAAAACACTTCGCATTTTGGCTGTTTGTTCTGTTTATCACTTTTGACAGAGAGCTACCTCTGCTAAATCTATAGCTAAATGTCTTGAGTATTATATGAGGGGCCACTAAAATATAATGTATCGATCCTCACTAATTTATCAAAAATCTAATTTTCACCAAATATTGTAAATGTTTTATATACAAGTACATGCAATATGCATGTATTTAAAGTATTGAAATAAAATGCAGAAATATTGTACTCTTTCTCAACAACAATGATAAATCTTATGAGAAACAAATAATGGCAGGGGCTGACAAATAGATTTTTCAAGCACTTGCCCACGGGCAAGTACATGGTCAAATTTCACTTGCCCTATTTCAATTTTTACTTCCCCCACCAGCACTTTATATTCATCATATTGAATTAATTTGTCTCTAAATCGAAAAATTTTGCAGCCTAGGATTGTTGTTTAGAATATTGGCGTCATTAAAAACTACGTACCATACAATCTGTTGATTAATTGTATGCTGTTTTACGTCCTGTTCGAGAATTTTCTATTCATATACTAGAGACGTAAAATTGCTATCATATTTCAGCTATAGTCATGATATCTGCTATTTGTTTAAAATAATGGTTTCGGACCTTTTTTTTTCTTTTCTCATACCTGGTATGCTTATACGGTTTTGTGCTGAGTTTTTCATATTTCCTCCATTTCTCCAATGCCAATTTGTCACTTTCAATTAAGTACAAATACATGTACTTAAAACTTTCGGTAAAACTTGTAATGAATTGCATAATGATGACACAATTAAACTGGTTCGCATACGAAGTGTGACAAACAAAGGAAGATAACTCTTACAACAAAATAATTTTAATTTTGTGGAAAACTATGACATTTTTAGGTCAACTGAGTAACTCAGGTGACGTATTGCTATCTGTTTTCGTCCGTCGTCGTGCGTCGTGTGTCGTGTGTTAACATTTGAACATTTTCAACTTCTTCTCTGAAACCACTGAACCCATTTCAACCAAATTTGGTATGCAGCATCTATGGGTGAAGGGGAACAAAAATTGTGAATTTCATGGTCCCCGCCCCCCTGGGGCCTGAGGGGTGGAGCCAAAACCACTAAAATTATTGCAAGCTTTAAAAATCTTCTTCTTACTCCTGGACATCAAGCAGGCAATCTGTTAGCATGAATGTAATAAGCATTGAGTCCTCTACCAAAATTGTGAAATTCATGGCCCCAGGGTCAAGGGTTCTAGTGCTAGGGCGGGGCTATATAGATTATATAGTGAAAATGCATTATTTCTTTGAAAATCTTCTTCTCTGCTTCTGGGTATTAGATAAACTAACTAAATACATAGTTATGATGAGCAAGAGTGCCTCTTCCAGATTTGTGAATTTTATGGCCCGAGGGTCAGGGGTTCTGGTGTTAGGGCGGGGCTCTATAGATTATATAGTGAAAATGCATTTATTCTTTGAAAATCTTCTTCTCTGCTTCTGGGTTTTAAATAAACTAATTAAGTACATAGTTATGATGAGTAAGAGTGCCTCTACCAGATTTGTGAATTTTATAGCCCCAGGGTCAGGGGTTCTAGTGTTAGGGCGGGGCTCTATAGATTATATAGTGAAAATGCATTTATTCTTTGAAAATCTTCTTCTCTGCTTCTGGGTTTTAAATAAACTAAGTACATAGTTATGATGAGAAAGAGTGCCTCTTCCAGATTTGTGAATTTTAAAGCTCCAGGGTCAGGGGTTCTAGTGTTAGGGCAGGGCTCTATAGATTATATAGTGAAAATGCATTTATTCTTTGAAAATCTTCTTCTCTGCTTCTGGGTTTTAAATAAACTAACTAAGTACATAGTTATGATGAGAAAGAGCGCCTCTTTCAGATTTGCGAATTTTATGGCCCCAGGGTCAGGGGTTCTGGTGTTAGGGCGGGGCTCTATAGATTATATAGTGAAAATGCATTTATTCTTTGAAAACCTTCTTCTCTGCTTCTGAGTATTAAATAAACTAACTAGTGCTAATTGTAACGGGAACCGTTACAGATGTTCCCCAAACGCTCCCCAACTCCCTTTCGGTGCCATATTCCCTGTAAGCTTCATTAAATAAGACAAACTCTGTGCATTTTTTACTTTAACAATGTTTTTCCAGAAGGATACCAATTATATTCAATTTTTAGCATTGCACCCAAGCGCATGTGAATGCATGTGCGTTATGACCATATCATCTTGTCTTTTA